TTTATATAAACACTTCAACATGAAAAAAATCATTGTATCGAATATTATAACCTTTATATGTATGTATATACATAACTAATGTACATGTGAAAGATCCAAAATAATTTTACTGCATGAAATGTTATTCCTCTCAGATCTAGTTGAAATGTTCGTTTGTCTCTATGTGAGTCCCAGTGTCAATCCTAGTTTGTATGTATATTATAGGTTTGTCTTTATGTGAGTCCCAGTATCAAACCTATGATATACATGTACGAGTACGAGTATCAATCCTATTTTGAATAAACATATTTATTTTTTTGTATTTTATAAATTGGGGATTAAAAATAAGTAGCAGTACACGATAAACATATTTGGTTTTTGTATTCTTGTGTCAGTATATGGCTAACTAATTCATCAACATTATGTAAATATGATGAGAGAAAATAATTAATCAGAGAAAATAGGATGAGAAACTTACGTAAAAGGGATTCACCTCATCTTCGGCGAAGGGATTGGTGGCGGCGGAAAAAAAAGAAGAAGATCCATCAACATTATGTAAATATGATGAGAGAAAATAATTAATCAGAGAAAATATGATGAGAAACTTACGTAAAAGGGATTCACCTCATCTTCGGCGAAGGGATTGGTGGCGGCGGAAAAAAAAGAAGAAGAATAACGGACGGTGGCGGCGGAGGAAGAAGAATGGTAGACGGTGGCGGCAGAGGAAGAAGAAAAACAATGATGGTGGAAGCGAAGAAGAAGAAAAATGGAGATGGAGACGGGGAAGCGAAAAAGAAGAACGATCAGAGATTTTTGAGAGTTGGAGAATCTTAAGTTTTCAGATAGGGTTTTAGGATTTTAAGAAACATTTTTATCGGTTGGCAAATAGGCCTGATGTAAAAGGTTTAATCAATTTTATTTAAATTTTTAGTTGGGAAAAATGACCCGATGTAAAACGTTTAATCCATTTATTTTTTATTGAAAAACTTTTTACATCAGTTGGGCAAAATGACCCGATGTAAAACGTTTAATCCATTTATTTTTTTATTGAAAAACTTTTTACATCGGTTGGGATAAACAACCCGATGTAAAATGACTTAATCTATATTTTTTATTAATATGAAGAAGCATCTCATAATATCTGTATTTTTTATACAATTTCATAATTAGTGCATGTGATCACATTTTATATGAATTTTAAAAAAATATAATCTAGATGATATATACTAAAGAATTGAAATTTTTGTTTAATCATTTTATGTTACAAAATTAAAATATCATGCAATTATTATCAGTTAAATATAAATCACTTAAAAAAATTTCAATTAAAATGATTTAATCTATTTTATTTATTTATTTATTGAGAACTTTTACATCGGTTGGGGTAAACGGCCCGATGTAAAATTTTTTATAACAAAATTTTTTATTATGAGTAGCATCACCAGTATCTTTTATTTATTATTTATTATTTTAATTAAGAACAACCTATGATATACATGTACGAGTATCAATCCTATTTTGAATAAAAATAGAGAAACTATAGAGAAAATAATTAATTAGAGAAAATACAATGAGAAACTTACGAAAAAGGGATTCACCTCATCTTCGGCTGATAGGCCTGATGTAAAATATTTAATCAATTTTATTTAAATTTTTATTTAGAATCTTATTACATCAGTTGGGCAAATTGGCCTGATATAAAATCTTAATCTATTTTATTTATTTATTTATTGAGGACTTTTACATCGATTGGGATAAACAACCCAATGTAAAATCCTTTATAACAAAATTTCTTATTATTTACGACACTGCCACCGCATTATTTTTTACATCAGATGGGGTACATGGCCCGATGTAAAATGTTTCACCCATTTTATTTATTTTTTATTGAGAACTTTTTACATCGGTTGGGATAAATGGCCCGATGTAAAATCCTTTATAACAAAATTTCTTATTATTTACGACACTGTCACCGCGTTATTTTTTACATCAGTGGAAATATATGTCTGATGTAAAATCTTTAAATTAAATATTTCTCACATCATATTGTTTATAAATTTGATGTAAAATTCTTTAACAAATATTTTTCACATCATATATCTAAAAATCTGATGTAAAATCATTTAACGAAATGTCTCATTTTTAGTAGTGCATTAACATCTTCCACATCTTCTACTACATGAGCCTTCTTTCTTTTTTATGTAGGTTTTCTTTTCTTAATATTTTCATTAACACCATCAACATTGGCTACAAGAATATCAACCTTAACATCATCATGGACATGATCATCATCACTCATAACTTTATTTTCAGGGGTCACATCATCATTCTTCTTGTGAATTTGAGACTCTGTCTTCAACATGCCACATCTTTATCATGGAAGTTTTCACCATAACCATATCATACTTGACAAAATGAGTAATATTGTGGGAAACAATGTTTGGGACATGTTTCTTATAACTTAGATTCAACACACCAAGAGTAACATGTATTCTTAGAATTCGATGGCTCACAAGTATGTATAACATATTTCATGTCTTTGAATGTCACAACTTTGTTTTCTTAATCAGGTTCACCTTCCTCATCATAAGTGACGTTATAGATTCTTTTTTATTTCCTTGGAAAATTTGAGCATTCAGCTTGAATATGTCTAAATTCTTTGTATTTAAGACTTTGGATCCAGTTGAGATTTTCACCACTTATTCCTTTTCGCTGAAAGTTACACCTCATAAAATTGTGTTGCTGATTGTCTTGAACATTTGTAGAGACATTATTCCCAAATCTCATAGCTAGTTTTTTCATGGCTTTACTAAATATCTTAGCAAGCCTTAGATTTTCTTCAGTCTCATAATCTACTTGGTCTTCACAGTCTTCTAATTATCTTCAGCTATATTATTTAGAGGATTCTTAATACCATAAAGACTCTATGGACGATGAATTGTTCCCCCTTTAATATTATCCATCTTGAACAAAATAAGAATCCTGGAACACACCCAAACAGAACAGGGTGCTTACTCTAATGCCAATTGAAATTATGTTCAAATGCAGGGACAAATGTTGACTAGATTCCTAAGTCAACGTGTTTAACATCTTATACCATAATTTATAGTTAATAGAAACCAAAGTGATAAATCATAAAACAAATAAATAACGCAAAAAAATTGTTAACTCAGTTCAGTGCAACAACACCTACACTTGGGGGGCTTCCAATCCAAGAAAGGAAATATACTATCAATAGTATTAGTACAAAGTGTCTTAGATGAAGAACTCTTGCTCAATGCTCATGTTCTTAATACTACACATGTCTTTCTATTTAGGATTCCCCCTAAATATGAAAATTCCTCTCACTTTATCTTAACCACTAACCCTAATGATACAATAAACAATTTAAAGATTGCAAATTACAACTCAACTAATAATAAACATTTATGCCTTGAACATTCAGTTTAAGATTCTTATAGAATTGTACAAAAATAAAAAATTACAAAGACGTAAAAAACCAAACCCTGACACACTAGATCTTCAATATATGTGTTCTCTTCAAATGTTAGGTTTGATTCTCCTTAAATAGCAATGTGACTTCTAGACTTTTCTCCAATGGACATAAGATTTGATCACATCTAGATTTGTATAAGATTTTGTTTTGATTTGTTTTTCATAAAACATCCAATATAAAGTTTTTATTTGTTTTGATTCAAATTTAAATATCCAAATAATTAGATTTAATCTTATTCAATTTGTCAAACATATATAATTAATCATTTCTAAAAGATAGCAACAAATCTTAAAAGGAAAAAATATATTTCAATTTATCGGGCTCTCCAAATATCCTGTCTGAAACAGGTGTCTCACGGATCGTTGAAACATTTGGCCTGACATCTGTCCCCGTTACAGAATTATGAATCTTGAACAAATCAAATAAAAACTTTACTTGATATAAAATCACAATTCTAACTTCTTAAATAAAGGAATCAGAACAATTCTCTTGCCAAAAACTGAAAATAAACTTTAATAGAGATCAGAGATTTTCTCTAAGTGCAAATCTAATCTTGTAACTAAAATCAAATCCAATAAGATTTATTCATAGAATTTAAATCTTCAATCAATATCTTGTACATCAATTTCTACACAATCTTAGACAAAATAAATCTTAACCAAATATCCTTTCAAAACATATTCAAATATTTTTTTTCTTCAATCCAAATTCAATCAAATCAAATCTTATTATATAAATCAAATTCAAATCTTTCAATTAAACCCTATAAAATTAAATTTTCTTCAACCTTTATGAATTATAATTTAATAAAATCTTTTTTCAAATTGATTTGGATAAACCTTCTTGTAATCAAACAAAATCACGCTTAGATTTACTCACAATTATTGGTTACAGACTGAGGTCAGATACTAAAACACATTCAAAAACTTCTTGTCTCTTCACAATTTACATCTTTTATATTAAATGTTGTTTTACCTAAAGTAGCCAATTAAAATAATAACAAATCAGAACAACAATATGTGTTTTTTTTCTTTCTTTATTCTTGTGTAAGTGAGTTGTTTCGTAACACTTCTATTTGTATAGAATACAATCTTCGAAGGGTCAATATGATCTTGATCAATGAAAGTTCAAGTGCAATCTAGACTAACCATACAAACGGTTATCATTAAACTATTGCTTTACTTTAGTTGAAGAAAAAAATAAAGTAGTGGAACTATTTTCATATAAGTTGGATGCTGGTTATTTAAATTATAATGAAGTGCTATTTGATAATAAACTGAAAAGTGCCTTATGAATATATTGCAGGTTAATTTCATAAGTACTTCCTTGCATACACACTAGTGCCTATGCCATACAGTAGTCCATGTTAGGACTTAACAAACCAATCCAAATGCATCCTAAATATATCTAGTTTGAAAAAGTGAAACAGGTAGAAGACAATCTTCCAAGCTAAGCAGCCATTGTTGATAAAAGTAAAAAAGATAACATGCATTTTTCAAGCTCTGGTTTATGGAAAATGACTGACTTACATATAGCACTCATCTAATTTGCTTTTTTGGAGCTGAAAAGCAGGATTTATCCAGGCTCCACAGCTGCACTGCATGCCAGCCCAGTTGAAGTAACCCAGACGAGCTTTACAACCCATGCACTCAAGTTTCTCTTCCACTTGACCTTCTTGTACTTCAAAGTCAATAAAAAAGAATCAAAGTCAATCTTTGAAGCACGAACACGGAAAACACGACAATGACACTGAAACGTCGACACCAGTAATAATTTGAAAAAAAATAAATTAATTAAACATAATCACAAGGATTAGTGTTGATTTTGAACACTGACACGAATACACTTGCTATTTACGGTATGTATGAGGAAAATTTACAAGTACCTGGTTGCATCCACTTCATGGGCTCAACAAATATTGAGGTGCAATCAGCTGGTTGATTTTTATATTCCCAGGATTCGTTGTTTCTCTTACTCCATTTAAAGCTTGATTCTCCTTTTCCACGCTCATGGGGAACTGTAATATCCTCTGAAGCAACAATTCTTCTGCATTTCTTACACCGGTATATAAGTTGAGATTTTGTTGCAGTTTCTGACTCAGAGATACTAGTTTCAACCATTTGATCCTTCTGCAATTCTCTTCTGATTATTATGCTTGATGCACTGTGAATTTAAAGCAGATGAGATATGATAATAGAGAAAAAGACTGGCATGTCTCTAGATAAAATATAAAATAATTGTCTAATAGTGATTCATCTACACATTGACCAAATTTATATTTCGGTGAATGATGCATGTATTAGTGTATTAGTGTATACAGCTGTTATTGGGTTGTTATTGGATTGTTATTGGGTTGTTATAACTGCTTAGACAGTTATATATAGTTGGAAAATAATCATTCAATGTATGTTTTTGTTGAATAAATAAAATACTTCTTCCTTATCTCTACTTTCTATTCTTTCTCCCTCTCTATAGTCTCCCTCTCTTCCCTATCATTGGTATCTAGCGCCTGTCGACCTCGGCCACACCATTCATGGCAGAATCAACGCGAATGCAGAACGCCATTCGTGAGGCGGAGGAACGCATCATGGCGACGGTGGAGCCATGCATCACGAGGCAAATTCATGAATTGGAGAATCGTTTCGAAACTCAATTCACCAATTTGCAAGAAGCCATGCGCGGAATTAGATTGCAAATCTCAGAGTTAACGGCGGCGCGTCGCCATGGTGGCACCGGCGACGGAGCACCTCGACCAGCAACGCGATTAACGCGTCTGGATTTTCCAAAATTCATTCGCGATGATGTGGAATCTTGGATCGCAAAATGCGAACGTTTTTTTGTGTTGGATGAAACGCAAGAAGGGGACAAGGTTTCGGTTGGGAGTATCGCTCTTGATGATAACTCTTTTCGTTGGTTCCAAAGTCTAGAACAGGGATCGAATGGCCGGTTGACATGGTCGAATTTCACCGAGGCATTGAAGATGCGATTTAGCTTCGAGTTCGATTCACCCATGGAAGACTCTAGAAATTGGTGCAGACTGGTTCGCTGGAGGCGTATCAGGAATCGTTTGACAATCTGGTGGGTAGAACAGCGTTGACAGAATCTCAAAAGCTCCAATGCTATTTGGGAGGCCTTCAACAGGAATTGTGTAATGGTGTGAAGATGTTCGCCCCGCGTACGGTGTTGGAAGCTACTCGTATGACAAAATTGCAAGAACGAAGCTTGGATTTGTTGCAGAAACGGTTGGGGCCAGCAAATCGAACCCAAAGTTCTTGGAATGAGAAGAAGAATACAGTTTCTCACACCTTTGACAAGAAAGTGATGCCTCAAGAGCAGAAAGGGATTATCGACGGTTCTTAGAGGAGCATTTTGGAAAAGCCGGCATATACGTTTCAGAAGAAACTTTCCTCTAAAGAAATGGATGAACATAGGGCTCAAAACTTGTGCTTTTTTTGTCATGACAAATTTTTTCCTGGACATGATTGCCCTCAGCGGAAAAAGATGCAAGTTTTCCTTATAGAGGTTGGGGAGGAAAACCAGTTGGACTCAATTGAAGTTGATGTTGTTCCTGAGGAAGTGTCTAATGACCCTCACAGTAGAGGTGGCAATGAAATCCATTTAGATAATATCCATCCAATCCATCCAATAATTTATCCATCCAATCCATCCATAAGACAAAAAATAATTTAATGGATTTGATCCAATCCATCCACTAACTCATATGGATGGATTCAATCCATCCATCTCATTTTATAAATCCATTGGATATTATGTTGTCACTTATTAAATTAAGAAATTTTAAATTAATTTTTTGGATGGATGGATATCCATCCATTAGAAATATGTTAATGGATGGATTTTATCTTTTAATGGATGAATTGGATTGGATTTTTATTAAGAGAGTTTAGTGGATTGTTAATGGATTAATGGATTGCTTTGATCCATCTATTAACAATCCAATCCATATCCATCCAATTCATCCATTTTGCCACCCCTACCTCACAGTGTTGATCCTACTGTTTCTCTTAACGCCATTCAGGGATACTCTTCTCATCCTATGATGAGATTGATAGGATGGATGGGCAGAAAGAGAGTTCATGTACTCATAGATACCGGCAGCACTCATAATTTCATAAACCAGAAATTATGTAAAGAGGGGCTCAACATTCTACAACCCATGCATCCCTTGCGGATAATTGTAGCTGACGGCGGCCTTATACACGGTGCAGGACGTTGTGAAGGCATCCGGTTAAAGCTTCAAGGGTATGATTTTATTACTAATGCTATTGTGATACCATTGTCTAGTTGTGATGTTATATTAGGCATGCAATGGTTAAGGCAATGGGGAGTCATACAATGGGATTTTACAAATATGGCTATGGAATTTTCCATGAATGGTATGCATGTGAAGTTGCAGGCTGTTAAAAGAAATTAAAAGTAGGGTAGTTTCAGCTTCTAAATTGCATCAGTTAGTGGTTGGAGATAGCTTCTGTTATATGCTACAGTTACTACCTTGTTCCACAGAGTCAATGTGTTGTTCAGTGACCACTGAGGAGCTAGAGGATCCGGTGATGATGGATCATAGAGAATCTGTTTTACATGAGTTCCAAGAGGTCTTTCAAACACCTACTCAGTTGCCACCCTTTAGGGGTATTCATGATCATCAAATTGTGCTAAAGGAGGGTTCTAACCCAGTTAGTTTAAGACCTTATCGATATCCACCAGCTCAAAAGGATGTCATTGATGGCATGGTTAGAGAGCTCTTGGATTCGGGAGTAATTCAACCAAGCTTTTCCCCTTTTGCTTCTCCAGTGGTGTTAGTCAAAAAGAAAGATAGGAGTTGGCGAATGTGTGTGGATTATAGGAGGTTAAACGAAATGACGGTAAAGGCTAAATTCCCAATTCCTTTGGTGGAAGATTTATTGGATGAATTAGGTGGGGCAGTGGTGTTTTCTAAACTGGATCTTAGGGCTGGATATCATCAAATAAGGATGAATCCGGAGGAAGTACCAAAGACAGCGTTTCAAACTCACGGGGGGCAGTATGAATATGTCGTGATGCCTTTCGGATTGTCCAACGCACCCGCTACTTTTCAAGGAACAATGAACTGGTTTATTGAGGAAATGTGTTCTTATTTTCTTTGATGACATACTAGTGTATAGCTCATCTTTGGAGGCACATGTGGATCATCTTTGACAAGTGTTTCAGATCCTCAAAGCTCACACCTTCTATGTTAAGAGAAGTAAGTGTGCATTCTTCACTACACGGATCGAATACTTGAGTCATTTCATTACACCTACAGGAGTTACTACTGATCCAATTAAAGTTTAAGCTGTGAGAGCTTGGCCGGCACCTCAAACAGTTAAGCAATTGAGGGGATTTTTAGGTTTGACGGGTTACTACAGGCGGTTCATTAAAGGTTACAGCATCATTGCTTCTCCTCTTACGGATTTACTCAAGCGGGATTCTTTCCATTGGCCTCAAGAGGCACACACCGCCTTCACTACCTTGAAAGATGCTTTGAGTAATTCTCCGGTATTGGCCATACCTAATATGCAAAAGCCATTTGTGGTTGAAACAGATGCTTCAGGCACTGGAATTGGTGTTGTGCTAATGCAGGACAGGCACCCTGTGGCTTTTATTAGCAAGGTTTTGTCTCCTAAAAACAGACTTTTGTCAGTTTATGACAGAGAATTATTGGCATTGGTTCATGCAGTCTCTAAGTGGCACCAATATCTTTCCCTGAACACGTTTACAATTCTTATTGACCAACATAGTTTGAAGTACCTATTGGAGCAACGTCTATCTACTCCAGCGCAATATAGATGGGTCACTAAGCTCATGGGTCTTATGAAATTTTGTATAAAAAGGGTAAGGATAACGTGGTTGCAGATGCATTATCGAGAGCCTCACATGGTGAAGTTTTACAATTGACCGTCTCTTCTATTTCTTCTGAGTTATGGGACTCTCTCCTTAATAGCTATGAACAAGATTCAGCTTTACATGACTTCAAGCAGCAGGTTCTCGCTAATCCAACCTTGCATCCCCATTTTTCTGTTGTGGACAATTTGCTGTATAGGAAACAGAAGCTGGTCATTCCTAATGATGAACAAGTGCGATTGGTGATTCTACAATGGCTTCATTCTTCACATTAAGGAGGCCATTCGAGCATTAGGGCTTCTATAGCAAGGATCAAGAGCATGTTTTATTGGAAGGGCCTTGCCAAAGATATCACAAAGTTCATTCAGCAATGTGAAACTTGCCTTAGATGCAAGTATGAACCTAGAGCTGTTGCTGGTTTACTTCAGCCCCTGCCAGTTCCAGAGGGAGTGTGGCAAAGTATAGCCATGGACTTCATTGAAAAGCTTCCTAAATCTCATGGTAAAGACACGATTTGGGTTGTTATTGATAGACTGAGAAAATATGCGCACTTTATCCCTCTTGCTCACCCTTTTAGTGCATCAAAATTGGCTGAAATTTTCATTTCTGAAATTTACAAATTACATGGTGCACCTGCCAACATTGTGAGTGACCGAGATCCCTTGTTTACAAGTAAATTTTGGGGTTCTTTCCTTGGTCAATTAGGCATTTCTCAGAGCTTAACAACAACCTACCACCCTCAATCGGATGGTCAAAGTGAAGTCTTGAAACGTTGCTTAGAACATTACTTGAGGGCTATGACATGGCAGCGGCCTAAAGAATGGGTCAAATGGTTACCTTTGGCTGAGTGGTGGTACAATACCACTTATCATTATGCTATTCAAGCTACCCCTTATGAGATTGTGTATGGTCAAGCACCCCCTCTGCATCTTCCTTATTGCCCTCAAATTACCAAGGTTGAGGCGGTAGATCGAAGCTTCATTGTAAGGGAGGAGATGATCCAGAAATTACAAGGTAACTTGGTTCGGGCTCAAGCACGTATGAAGCGGCAGGCTGATAGACATCGCAGTGATCGGGAATTCAAGGAAGGAGATTGGGTTTTCCTAAAGTTACAGCCCTATAGACAATCTTCTGCTCAATATCGTGCTTCCGAAAAGCTTTCTCCTCGGTTTTATGGTCCTTATCAGGTGCTACATAGGGTGGGAAAAGTTGCATACACGTTGATTCTCCCAGCTACTTC